ATTGTTTATAAATAATATAATCTAAGCAGACATGATATCATCATTCGTAACAGAATTAGTTATTATCCTAAAATTATTTATTTATTTGGATTTGATGAATTCAAAGATTTATAGGAACATAAATTAATTTTTGATGAAGAATTCACTTTTAATCCATAAAATACTAAATTTTATGCTTAATAATTCAATATCTAAATAGATTAATTGTAAAATGTAGTTGACTCAGAATATAGTTCATTATAAAACTATATTCCATTGATATATTATGAACCATTATTGGAAGCAGAAAATGAGACTTTTCATTATTATAGTAGTGTTATATCTACACTATTGACAGATGGTGAAATACTATCAGAAGGTAATGTTGAAAGTAAAAAGAATCCATTTAAAAGTTTTCAAATTCATCAATAGAGAGAATCAATAATAAGATCAAATCATTATTGGTCTAAAATGGGAGATATTACTTCATGGATTTAATTAATAAATAAATTTATTATTTTTATTGAAGATATTAATTCTAAAGATGATGAAAAAGAATAAGAGAATTCTAAAAATGAATTAATAAAATGGTGTAGATTATAGAATATCAATATTCCAAAAATGATATTGATTCTAGCTTATAATGAATATATAATTGATTTAACCTAAAAATATGTATTAATTTCTCATTATTTAGGTATCTGAATATTCAGTCATTAATAAATGTTGTTCACTTGATTAATTAAAATTGAATAGAACTGTATCTTTAAAGAAACAATAATCAATGCCAGAACATTCTGAAGACATATAAGCATGTTTATTAAGGCTATTTTATAAAGGTTTAAGTATCTTTAGTGGTCATAAGAGTGCTGGTTACTATAATTATGTTACCAACTAAAAATTTAAATTATGCTATAACAATTTAATGGCCATAGTTGGAGATTTTCCTTTAACCTGTATAATTATGGCATTGCTCTAAAAGAATCAATAATATGAAATTAAATATTCTACTAAAATAGATGATATTATGATACCATAATTGGCTCCTAAAGAATTTGTTAAAGAATACAAACTATAATTTATATAACGATAATCCTTGCATTTGAATGAAATCAACTTTAATGGCATAGGTTAAGTTCTGTTTAATGAATTATGGAAACATTAATCAGGTCCTCAATTATCTTAGGATTGTATCTTACAACCTAATATTGAGATGAATTGTATTACAGTTTTATATGATCCTAATGTGGCTAAAAAGGAGATAATAGAATAGGAATTGAATAGTAAAATTAAAGAATTGTAGAATTTTTATAGAAATTAAGTCAAAGAAATACCATATGAGAATGATTCTAAATTTATAATGCAAGCGTATAAATATATAATTAATATAATAGTGGTGGAAGTATGAAGGATTGGATTGAAAAAAGTGCTTATAAGACTTTCTTTATAGAAGGTTTACCTTTAGATATAACTCAGGAATTGTTACAAGAATTTTTGTCTGAAGTGATGATTTCAGAAATGAAATTGTATAAAGAAGGTGATAAAATTACAGCCAGAATATCTCTTTAAGATCATGATGATTTACTATATTGTTTGGAAAATATTAAAGTATATAAAGATAATCAATTGAAAGTTTATACTTAACAAGATCAATTTGAATATAATGAAGAAAAACTACTTTTCAATGAACATTATAAAGTAATTATCACTTGGAATTTACATTTAAACAAAGGTACTGCTATAGTTAAATTGAATGCTCCATATATATTTAATTCTGAAGATTTTGAAACGATTTAACATATGACATATAAAATGAATCTCAAGAGTGTTTATGAGGATGAGTAATCAGTTATGGCTGATTTAAAATAATAATGCAAAGATATTGATATCAAATCAGTTTTAATAGATAAACAATTAAGATATGAAAATAATGGGGATCTATAATTAGAAATACAAAAATTATTATAGAATATTCCTTAAGATTAATATAAAATTGAATCAATTACTAAATAACATTGTAAAAGAATTTTGTAGCTCATAGTTTATGATAAAAATATTATGGAATAATTTATTCTTTTAAATAATCAGATTAAATAATTTAGAGGATTGAAAGTATAATTAAAAGTAAAACCTGTTTATTATCATGATTATGAAGGACCTATTGAAATGAAATAAATAGTAGAGGAAATTTTTGATGAAAAGAAGATTGAACTTGGTTAATATACAATTACAATTGATGATGAATTTAAAAGAGTGAAAGTTACTATTTAATGTTGGAGTAAATAAGATCATGAATAATTGAATAAAGAAATTTAAGATGCTTTTACTCCAAAAATCATTAAGTCTTCATAAGATTTTGATATTACAGTTTTATTTAGTTAATCTGGTACAAGATTTCTTAAATTTTAAGAAGAATCTTTATAAATTTTAATTAGATAAGATTTTATTAATAATCAATTATTTGTTAATAGCTCTTTTATTAAATACAATTAATTAGTAAATGCTATTAAATAATTTGTTTCAGATTGTTCAAAAAGTATTATATAAATCCCTAAAAATTGTATAAGATTGATAATGGGAAATGATTCTCAAGGATTAAATGAAATAAAGAAAAATTTTGACTTAAAGAGTGTTAAATTCAATAGTATTTCAGGTGAATTACAATTATTTGGTGATCAGAAGAATCTTGATGCAGCTATCATATCAATTAGTGAAATTATATCTTCATAATAATAATAAGATAAACCTATCAATGCATTAACTTGTAATTATTGTTTTGATAATATGAAAAATGGATATATGTTATAAGGTTGTGGACATAAGTTTTGTCTATAATGTATAATGTTTAGTATTCAAAATTCATTAGGAGATATGACTTAATTACCAATTAAATGTCCATAATGTAATCAAGGTATACTTTTAGCTGATTTGTATATTTTAATTGATGAACCAAGTTGGGAAAAATTAATAAAATTATCCATAAATAAATGTAATTAATTTATTAAAATAATATTAGATTTATAGGATCATGCAGCATAAATTGCTTTTTGTTTGACTCCAAATTGTCCAATAATTCATTTCTAAAAGATACCAAGATATACATGTAAAAAATGTTAGAAACAATATTGTAATTCATGCAGAGTATATATATATAATTATTATTCAATAGACAGCATATCATTATGGATAAACATGTAGAGAATTCAAAGCTGGTAATGAAGATTCTATTAATATATATATGAAGAAGAATGATGTAAGAAGATGTCCTCATTGCAAAATATTGATATAAAGAATTGATGGTTGTTATAGAGTTACTTGTACAGGATGTAAAAAGAGTATTTGTTGGAAAAATAAAGCAGATGGTACACCATGTATGGCAATTTTTGAAACATCTTCAGAATGTTATTCACATTTAACCAAAGAACATGGTGGATATTGGTGATATGAACAAAAATATATATATATTTATAGATCAATTTATTTATTTTGAGCTTCCTGTCTATTTTACTTAGAGTAATTAATATTTTTTGCCTAGAACTGCCTTTTCTTCTTCTGGATATGGCTCAAAGATTTTTCTTATTCTTGGTCTTTATCCAAGATTAGTTTATTTAGATGCTCCAATTACTCTTAATGTCTCACTATAATGATGTATCAATAATTAGACTTGAAATAGGAAATTATGAACTTCTTCTGCCAAATCATAACAACTCAAACAGAATTCACCCATTTCAAATAGACCAGTCATAAAACAATTTAAAGTATTTGATTTTGCTTATAAAGTCTATAATTCAGCCAAGACATTTTAATTTAGTAATTCTTATTTATCTAATGTATCTTCAAATTATTATGCAATTTTAATATATCTTATTTTAAGTTTTATGAATTTTCTATTTCCTTTAAAAAAATATTCATATAATTTTTTTAGGTTTCGTTATATTGCTTTTGGATAATCACTCATTTCTATATTCTTTTAGATTATAACATGTAATTATTTATTAAGATCATTAAATTATTCATCTAAAACTTAATGTTCTTAAATTGTTTTAGGATATTTAAAGTATTTAATTTATTAAAACATATTTAAAAATAATGTTTATTACTCTTTAGATTCATATTATCTAAATTCAGTATTCTATTATCTTACTAAAAACCTATAATTTAACTTATTCAAATAATTGGTAATTTTATCAATATTAATAAGACTGTTTTTTATGACTTATGTTATGTCAAACATAAGTTTAGAAGATAGAAAATCTATAATATCTTCAATTAGCTACTATATTTTATAGAATTGATCAAGACTCTATAGATTATCCATAATTCCTTAAAGTTCCTCTGAATGTTGAATATTGAATTTATTTAATAAATTTTTGTATTCTTCTATAGCAGCTTAAGCACAATTCTTAAATAATCCCTTCTATAAGAATGTTAAGTTTTCTTAGTTTTAAAATTTAGTGTAAAAGTCTTCATTATAAATAACATTTAATTCATTTGTGCTAAAAATTTTAAGACTAGTTATTTCATTAAATTTGATTGTAACTGATTTATACCAATCAACTACTTTGTCTTCTAATTCTTCAATCACATCATTGTTTTATTTTGGAGCATCTTAAATTAAATTTATCATATTTTTTTCATATTTATGATAATCTAATAAGAATTATTGATTAATATTATTTTATTTTTCTATGATTTCTAAAGCCAATCTTAATTTTTTATTTACAATATCAACTAACACTGATAAGGTAGGTTAGTTAAAATTAAACTTATATTTCTAAATCTAATATTTTTGATATTAAAAAATACTTAATATAATCTCATCTTAGTATTTCTGAACTCAAAAATCAAAGTCTCTAATTCTTTAAGAGGTAGATCTTTTAAAAAAGGTACATCATTTTAGTTTAAATCACTTAATACTCCTGCCAATGATCCAATACTCATTTATTAGATATCTTCTAGCTTTGACTCATCCATTTTATTAAATAATAATAAATATATTTATATATTAATAGTTATATAATATACTTTATTGATTAATAATAAGTTTAATCATACCAAGTTTAATAATAATAGTTATTAGAACTTAGATTTATATTTAATATATATACATAATAAAAAAGAATTGAAATAGTAAGATAATTATTATTTTTATCATTCTCCTTATAAATATTTAGGTTCCATAAACATTATTTTCAACATTATAAATATAAATAATCAAAATGTATTAGCACTTTGAACTTAATTATTTATCATCTTTAATCTATATATTTAATATAATCTTCTTAAAACAAATCATTATGATTAACTTTTAATAGTGATATAATAAAGTAAGTATTAATAATTAATATAATAGTTATAGATGGCGATGGAAAATTATTGATAATAAATTTATAATATTAATATTATTGCTTTTTATTTTATTTTAATATAATATGATTTGTTTGCGATCAACATTTAAATCTTCTTAAATTATAAATATATATAATATATATGGTCTAAAACAATTGATTAAATGAAATACTCAAGATTATAAGAACACAATTTTCATTAAAATAAATTTAATTGATAATTTATAATGTCAAAAAATAACACAACTATCAGCCTTACTATAAATTAATTGAAAGATTAATGGTAAAAAAGCTGCAAGAAAGAAATTGTAACTTAATTTGTACGTTAACCATCAATAAATTAAATAAGAATTTCCAAAAACAACAGATCTTCAAATTATCGTATTTCTCCCAATAAGTTAATAAATGAATAAAATTAAACACCTAAAACTTTGATATAAGACAATATTTCAATAGAATCTACAATTTCTATTAGCAGTTAAATTTTTAAAAGCGATTCACATATTGACAACAATTAGATTTAACCAACTCCATAAATAAAATTGATTATTAATTAAGAACATTTCCATATTGATGCAACTACTAAATTGGAAATAGAAGATGAATCAAATTCTTAAGAATAAATATAAATTAGTAATGTGTAAACAGAGTTGTCTTAATTTCGTTTTATAAACATTTCTAATGATATTGATAATTCTATTAACTACTTAGATTTAAAGTTTCAACCTGTAGTATTTCAAAATTCTACCTTATCAAACACATTTTAGAAAAAAGCCGAAAGCAACAAAATAACACATAAAATGTATATGATGTAAAAATTAAATAAATTCAAAAAGGATGAAATGAATAAGAAAATTATTAAACATGATCCAATAAAAGAATCATTTTCATTAAATCCTGAATTATCACTTAAAATATAGACATCTTAATCAATAAAATTGATAAAAATAAATCCTATTTAATAAGAGAATTTATAAGATTAACAATTAAATAAATTAGATTATGAAATCTAAAAATCTATAATATCAAATGATAATTACAGTTTTGTCAGTGAAGTTGTTTAACCAAAAATCTAAAATTTTAGAAAAACATTACAATAAGAGTAAGATAATTAAAGTGTTCAAAAATTGAATTTAAGAATAGAAACTATACATGAAATTAAATAATATTTCATTCAAACTTTTCCTACCATTTCTTTAAAGTTTTAAAAAGTAAAAATGGAAACTGTAAACATATAATAAAATTCTATTAATGAAAATAATAAATTAATAAATGATCAACCTATTAAAGAGAGTATTTTAATAAAATCTTAACCTATGAAATTATCATTCAATTTACTAAAAAAAGATTAGATTCCTTTATTTTAATTGTTCATTTTGATAGGAGAAATACAAATAAATGACAAAAAATTATAAATGAATGATTAAATTCCAATAAAGAATTATCCTATACCCAATCTTAATTCTAATTTAATGAAATCTGATATAATTGATATTGATGTTATTAAAGTTGAAATATCTCAAAATATAATTAAAGATTGTAAAATAAATTTAATAAGTAGAAGTAATTAGACTACTTAAATAAAATAATTTAAACTTTCTTATTTAATAAAGGATGTTGATAATAAACCAAATTAAAATCTTAAATGTATGAATCCGCTAGAATTTAATGAAAATTTATTGAAAGTTAATTATGAGATAATATAACCTAAAGAAAAGCCTCAATATCCTACACTTCTTTAAATGAATCGAATGAAGATAGAAAAGATAAAGGAGTTGATAACTGAAGGTAAAACTTCAAGAACAAATTTAAAAATCAAACCAACTTAAAAATAAGATTCACTTGGTATCTAATCTAAATACATTACAGAATTTAATAATTCTGAAAAAAAATGTATTTTACATGGAAGTTTAATTATAGAAGAATCAAAAGAAACATAAATTTAATAAAGATGTTCTAGTATTGATAAAGCTACATAAAATATAAAAATTAGTAAAAACTAATTTTCAATTCTAAATAGATTCTAAAAAATAAAATATTTAGGTAGGGGTAATGTTAGTGATGCCTATTCAGTATTTGATTAATAAACAGGAATGGCACTTGCTTTAAAAACAATATAAAAATCATTAATTTAAAGTAAAGGTATTGGTAATTTGATATCAAATGAAATTAAAACATAAATGATATTGAATCATCCTAATATTTTGAAATGCTATGGAATAATAGATGATAAAAAATAGGTAAAATATAATATATATTATAGATTGCTTTAATATTAGAATTGAGTGATCAAACATTGTACAATTTCATTCGACATAACACAATAACTAGAAAAGAAATGATTGATATTTTACATTAAGTAATTAGTGCTGTTAATCATTTACATAATAATGGTATAATACATAGGGATATAAAACCAGAGAATATATTAATTTCTTAAAATGTAATCAAATTGGCTGATTTGGGTATTTCTATAAGAACTACAAGTTGTTCATAATATTGTGGTACTATAGGTTATATGGCACCTGAAATTAAATTACATGAAAAATATACATCAAAAGTAGATTGTTATAGTATTGGTGTTTTAATTTATGAAATGCTTTATAAAAAATTACCTTTGCAAACTTTATATCCAATAAAAAATATAAAGAATGATTTATTGATTGATTTAATGAATAATTTAATAGAACCTAATTAAGATTTAAGATATACTTGTTCTTAAGCACTTGATCATGAAATTTTTAACTAATTAATTTATCCCTAATTAATATAAACTTCAATACTAAATAATCTTTAGAAATTACTGTGATATAATCAAATTATTTATTAATATTTAGATTAAATTATAATTGTGAAATTAATATTATATATATATAAATTTAAATAACAAATATATATTTTGATATCTAAAATTATAATATTAAAAACAATAATAACAACATATTTCATTAAATAAAAGACCAATCTGATATCCTTTGACTTGATTGAGATTAATCACCAAATTTCATCTAAATATATATAATTAAATAATTACATCAATTGTATCTTTAACCCATTATTTTGTATTATCTTTTTCAATAAATGGACCATCTTGTACTTTA